TGTGATAAAGGTCGTGGTGAGATATGTGATGAAGGTCGTGGTGAGATATATGATGAAGGTCGTGGTGAGAAATGTGATGGAGGTCGTGGTGAGACGTGTGATGGAGACTTGGTGAGATATGTGTTGGAGGTCGTGGTGAGATGCGTGACTGAGGTCGTGTTGAGATATGTGATGGAGGTCGTGGTGAGACTTGTGATGGAGGTCGTGTTGAGATATGTGATGGAGGTCGTGGTGAGATATGTGATAAAGGTCGTGGTGAGATATGTGATGAAGGTCGTGGTGAGATATATGATGAAGGTCGTGGTGAGAAATGTGATGGAGGTCGTGGTGAGACGTGTGATGGAGACTTGGTGAGATATGTGTTGGAGGTCGTGGTGAGATGCGTGACTGAGGTCGTGTTGAGATATGTGATGGAGGTCGTGGTGAGATATGTGATGGAGGTCGTGGTTATATGTGTGATGAAGGTCGTTGTGAGAGGTGTGATGGAGGTCGTGGTGAGATGTGTGATGGAGGTCGTGGTGAGTTGAGTGATGGAGGTCGTGTTGAGAAATGTGATGGAGGTGGTGGTGAGATATGTGATGGAGGTCGTGGTGAGATATGTGATGGAGGTCGTGGTGAGATATGTGATGGAGGTCGTGGTGAGATGTGTGATAAAGGTCGTGGTGAGATATGTGATGGAGGTCGTGGTGAGATGTGTGATGAAGGTCGTTGTGAGGTGTGTGATGGAAGTCGTGGTGAGATGAGTGATGGAGGTCGTTGTGAGATGTGTGATGGAGGTCGTTGTGAGATGTCTGATGGAGGTCGTGATGAGATGTGTGATGGAGGTCGTAGTTAGATGTGTGATGGAGGTCGTGGTGAGATATGTGATGAAGGTCGTGGTGAGATATATGATGAAAATCGTGGTGAGATGAGTGATGGAGGTCGTGGTGAGATATATGATGAAGGTCGTGGTGTGATGAGTGATGGAGGTCTTGGTGAGATGAGCAATGGAGGTCGTGGTGAGATATGTGATGGAGTTCGTGGTGAGAAATGTGATGGAGGTCGTGGTGAGATGTGTGATGGAGACTTGGTGAGATATGTGTTGGAAGTCGTGGTGAGATGCGTGACTGAAGTCGTGGTGAGATGAGTGATGGAGGTCGTTGTGAGAGGTGTGATGGAGGTCGTGGTGAGATGTGTGGTGCAGGTCGTGTTGAGATAAGTGATGGAGGTCGTGGTGAGATATGTGATGGAGGTCGTGTTGAGATATGCGATGGAGGTCGTGGTGAGTTGAGTGATTGAGGTCGTGTTGAGAAATGTGATGGAGGTGGTGGTGAGATATGTGATGGAGACTTGGTGAGGTGTGTGATGGAAGTCGTGGTGAGATGAGTGATGGAGGTCGTTGTAAGATGTGTGATGGAGGTCGTTCTGAGATGTCTGATGGAGGTCGTGGTGAGATGTGTGATGGAGGTCGTAGTTAGATGTGTGATGGAGGTCGTGGTGAGATATGTGATGAAGGTCGTGGTGAGATATATGATGAAAATCGTGGTGAGATGAGTGATGGAGGTCGTGGTGAGATATATGATGAAGGTCGTGGTGTGATGAGTGATGGAGGTCTTGGTGAGATGAGTAATGGAGGTCGTGGTGAGATATGTGATGGAGTTCGTGGTGAGAAATGTGATGGAGGTCGTGGTGAGATGTGTGAAGGAGACTTGGTGAGATATGTGTTGGAAGTCGTGGTGAGATGCGTGACTGAGGTCGTGGTGAGATGAGTGATGGAGGTCGTTGTGAGATGAGTGATGGAGGTCGTTGTGAGAGGTGTGATGGAGGTCGTGGTGAGATGTGTGGTGGAGGTCGTGTTGAGATATGTGTTAAAGGTCGTGGTGAGATATGTGATGAAGGTCGTGGTGAGATATGTGATGAAGGTCGTGTTGAGATGAGTGATGGAGGTCGTAGTGAGATGTGTGATGGAGGTCGTGGTGAGATGTGTGATAAAGGTCGTGGTGAGATATGTGATGGAGGTCGTGGTGAGATGTGTGATGGAGGTCGTGTTTAGATGTGTGATTGAGGTCGTGGTGAGATGTATGATCAAGGTCATTGTGAGATGTGTGATGAAGGTCATTGTGAGATGTGTGATGAAGGTCGTGGTGAGATGTGTGATGGAGGTCGTGGTGAGATGTGTGATAAAGGTCGTGGTGAGATATGTGATGGAGGTCGTGGTGAGATGTGTGATAAAGGTCGTGGTGAGATATGTGATGAAGGTCGTGGTGAGATATGTGATAAAGGTCATTGTGAGATGTGTGATGGAGGTCGTGGTGAGATGTTGGTGTTGGTTTTGATTATTGTCGATATTTCTGAACGTTCCATATCGAAACGCTTTGATGAATTGATATGAATGACGTAGGAATTGGATTTGCGGAGTCCAACGTGTTATTGAATTGATAACCTGAATTTCCCTGTATTCAGATGAACAATCCATTGACTTACGTGCTATTTATTATAAACGCCTATGTCAAACTCCATGTACACATTTCTGTTTCATACCTACCCAAAGAAAGTGTTTGTTTACTGGGTTTATTGCCTCGTTTACAGACAAGGTCTTTTGAGGTGGCGTCATCTCGTGGGAGGTGGAAACCTTACTGAACAACATACAGGAGGTCCGTCGCATGCCAAGCAACTGAGGTGAGGTATTTTGTCAAATGACTCAATTAAGAGAGAATACAACGGCCAGATTCCCAGCTCCTGAAGAACACAAATGGCTACGGTAGCTTTCTTCGAACGATACTCTGGGTCTTCATCTCAGGTTGAATAAGCCGATCTTGGCTCCATATAAAATCACATTCATAAGGCTGTAAATTATATCATTTCATAAGAAACCCCCTCACCAACACACACATATTCCGTAAAATGAATGCAACCGATTTGCATTTATACCCTCATGAACGCTAAACACATTATTCAATGCATCCAATCAATACCATATCTGCAGCTTTATATTTCTGTAATTGATACTGAATCATGACGTCCCATGATTCGGCACCTATTTTTTATCAATGACTTCCTGAATCTCATTCTAAAACAACAAAAAGGGGGAGGGGGTTAGGCCAGTTTCTAGTTTCTCAAGGGGGTGGGGAAGGGGGGAGGAGAGTATCCGTTCACATCTATGACGTCATGCATGTCCTCGATACACAGAGTTCGGATAAAAACTCGGTCAAAAGAAGGTCAGTAGGGGTAAGCAAAAATAACAATTCATTCCCTTGTTGGTGAGATAGCGGATCTCGACCCTCGGGGAATGATTATCTAGTTGCAAACATTCTTCAGGTTTCATTTTTGCAAATTTAATAATCTTTCATCTGGAATTGAGATATCCCTTTCACACGAACATGATGATTCAATAATGATATTTTATTAATCTTGATGAAAGTCATACGAACTATCTTGTACTACAATTACTGATACAGAACCACCTCGCTAAACATGCATTATTATTTACGCTTCTAGTGTGAATCTGTGTACAACAGTAGAAAAAGCAGAAAAGTTTAACCTGCCGACATGTCAGTATTGTGCTAGCAGTACAGCTAACAGGCATGTCAGTGACGTTTGGCATGCACTATGGACCTAATGTATACCGGGGTTACTGGTTGATACAGTTTCCCTTACCCCTCCCTCTAAAACCCTTCTGGTACACACCACTGATCATTCCTGGGTCCCAATCAGAATACCACACACACTTGCTCGCATAACAATCATCCTGGTTACCAAGGCAACATAGCAATTGAAATGCAAGGTATTTTCGATGATATCTGGAACTAAAAATTACACACTTAAATTTGTGTGCACTGAGAAGCAATTATTTTGATAATTATAAATGTCGTCATATTATGCGCAGTGTATACACATGCAACAAAGTGAACATTTTCTCTCCTACGCCAGCACGCGCGCACGTGCACGTGGTTTTGAAGGTTGCCAGGCCACCTGGTTGGCACGATATGACGTGTTGGAGGCCTCAAACTTGTACACAGCATTGTAACAACTCACTTCAACACGTCAATATCCCTTTGTTGAAATTCTCGGTCAGTCGGTACAAAGCAATATTACCTGGTCTACAGCGCGCGAGATATATATAGTTAAGGTTTATTTTGGATGCAAGGTTGATATTCATCATCCATATTGACCATTTGACAAATATGTGACCGACTTGGCAGTAATTCTCGGTGTGACTGTCGAAGATAGTGTACGTGTGTCAATGACGGAATATTATCGATCGCTGTGTATATGTATATATATAAACGATTCCTGCTAGTCCTCTGTGCGACAGTATTGTATAAACCTATTCCAATCGTACAGCACGCGTGTGATGTCGCTGACGCCATTGTGACCTGGTGATTTTTTTTGTGATGTCACACTGACGTCACCAAGTATAGAAGTGATGTATATTATCATTGAAAAATAAAATTTCATTAAATGTTACCATGGTAACTTGGGTGTATCATATTTTAATTAGCGGCGTAACGCATCAACATGCGGATATTTAACAATAAAGTCATCACGTGATAGTAACCTTTTATCGATCGAAACGGTGAGCTATATATAGACCTGTACGACTGTTACGTCAGAAGACGGTTTCTCTGTTCTTGCCTTGCCATTCCGAATGTCGTAGATTGAATGATAAGAACACTTCGTCATTTTATGTATATACGTGGGTTTTACAGTGTGTGACGATAGTTTTTGTTGTATATTCTAACAAAGTCTGCGGGCGGCGCACTCGTGTGATATGAAGCATACTTTCTTTTTATCCAACAGTATAATCATTCTATAAAGAGCAAACCAGTCTGGATCAACAATCCGGTTATGTCTGGAGGATAATAGAACCAGGAATGGCGTCAAACTAACACAGTGGAATAGTCCCAAAGTATCAGTTGATTTACGTACATCTTACAGGTGTATATATAAATATATACATAATGCGATATGAGGAGACTGTGATATAAAAATAGAATATATGTATTGACTATAGTACTTACCCTAGCGTTGTCATAGTAACTATTGTGTACCAAAACGCCGATGGAATGCTGGTAAATCTTGTGTTGGGTACATTCTTCTCCGCGTAATACATCACTGTTGCAAAGATAATAATAGCCATAGTCAGCGAAAAAAGCAAAAAGCCTAACTCGCTTGCACAACTTTTCAAAGTATATCCAAGAATTCGTAATCCCTGTGAATGGCGCGAGAATTTAAAGATCCTAAAAACTCGGAATACTCGAAGTGTCACAAATGCGCCGCTGACGTCATCGTTGTCTGTCATTACAAGCCCAATGTAATATGGAAGAATAGCCACCACATCTATGACACTCATAACACTCCGCATAAATTTGCAGCGGTCAGGTGCAGCGTATAATCGCAGAAGATATTCAGCCGTGAAGATCATCACACAAGCAGTGTCCAAGCAGAAAAAAGCGGTTTTAAAACGTACTCCACAAGTCGGAGTTTCGTCCGTCCCTGGTTTCTGACCACATGGTATGGTGTCAACCACGTTGGCCATAACGGATACGGCGATAAAAAACCCTGTGACATAATAAAATACCAAAGCTGCAGTGCCAACGTGGGGGTTCTCGAAAGCCCTCCATAGCCGCTCCCTGAGGTTCCTGGCTGGATCTAGGTCCGCGTTTTCCGAATTTTGATCATCTAAAAGTCTTTCAGTATTTTCCCGTCTTCTATCCCGGTAATCCTCGTAGCAACAATCACCGATAAGGTCCGGCATGATCCCAAAGAAAGCCAGCTCATCATCGTATGCCGATATGCATTCATGTTTTGGATAATGTAATTTCCCTGTTCTATAGTAATTAAGTATGTGTCGAAAAAATTCCGGATCCCGGTCGAAAAAATAATCCTTTGAGTCATCGTCGAAGAAAAACTCCTTTTCATTAGAGCCTAGTAGAGTGTCCGGGTATTTTTCCACTGTCGTTCGCCAAGTTTCGAACTTCCTGCCACTGATATTAAGTGTTAGTTTTTCGTCGCCCCTCCTATTCTCCGCTCGCACCACTGGCTGGGGGAGGGGGTTCTGTGCCACGGGAACCCACCCGATGGCCGATGCCCGGGCAAACGGTAACCAGGCGGCAACAGAAGCCATTACGTTCGCCTTGGATGACGTAATAAAATCAAAATTCTGAAGGAATACAATTTTGAATATTTAAGGTGAACAATATTAGGCGAAAAGGGTAGAATAGGTGAAGAGAACACGTCGTTTTAAATGTTCAAGATAGCCTGAATTACAGAACAGACATCGTTTAGAAAATTGTGACTTCTAAAGGACCAAAAACAATAGAATGTTTCCAAACCATACCTTGAAGGTGCCTATCGCTTGTCATTCTGTGTACAAGAGAGTGGTTGATCACAGCTGTAATGTATTCAGCGTTCCCTTTAGAGCCATCCCGTGTTTACCCAGTAGCCATCACACTGCTCGAATGCACAACAATTCAAAACATATCTCCAAAGAAATGCTAAAATCACTTGAATTTCGACTTCAAGAAGTTGCTTGCATGCTGTCGTGTTTCAGAAGACCTTCCTACTGTTGATCTGGGGTAGCCGCGTGTGTCCGTAAGCAGTATCCATTCCTGGCCTGCCGCTGTCGGAGAATACAAGCGCTGAGAAACGGCGCTTTGTTGGTTGTCGCTGTTTCTCATTAAAACATCGTATGTGGAGAGCGAGCCATATAGAATTTACGATCGATATCCACCGCCGTGTTCAAAGCCCGGCGAGAGGCGGGATTCAGCGAGACATAATTAGTTTCCCTCATTCAAAATTCAACAAAGAGTAACAGTTAGTTTCCTCTATTTCAACACATCTTTTGCCGAGAAATGTGTACAAATAAAACCAAGGTACCGACCCATGTTCCGCTAACAACCCTCGGCATTACAACACGTTAGCTAAGGCTATGTTTTTATTTCGCCGCTGCGGTAACGTTACGATTGATTTTCGCTATTATATATTGTTCCTGGGCCAAGCAACATTTTCATGTACAAATCAATATTACAAAAGGCAAAAAGGGCTTGCGGATGTGAAGATACCAAAGCACACTATACACCCGTGTGTTCTTCATGATAGATGTACCGTCATTGTCATTTGAAGAGAGTGAATTTAGGACTTGTCACTATTTTATACAGAGCTTAGACAACGATGGTAGCGCTATACCGTATGTAGACATTGGGAGTAGCACTGTTACCGTGTGTAGACCATGACAGTTACACAACAGTTACCGTGTGTAGACAAAGACAGTTACACAACAGCTACCGTGTGTAGACAATGACAGTTACACAACAGTTACCGTGTGTCGACAGTGATAGTTACACAACAGTTACAGTGTGTAGACAATGACAGTTACACAACAGTTACCGTGTGTAGACAATGACAGTTACACAACAGTTACCGTGTGTAGACAATGACAGTTACACAAGAGTTCCCGTGTGTAGACAATGACAGTTACACAACAGTTACCGTGTGTAGATAATGACAGTTACACAACAGCTACCGTGTGTAGACAATGACAGTTACACAACAGTTACCGTGTGTCGACAGTGATAGTTACACAACAGTGTGTGTACAGTTACACAACAGTTACCGTGTGTAGACAATGACAGTTACACAACAGTTACCGTGTGTAGACATTGACAGTTACACAACAGTTACCGTGTGTAGACAATGACAGTTACACAACAGTTACCGTGTGTAGACAATGACAGTTACACAATAGTTACCGTGTGTAGACAATGACAGTTACACAACAGTTACCGTGTGTAGACAATGACAGTTACACAACAGTTACCGTGCGTAGACAATGAAAGTTACACAATAGTTACCGTGTGTAGACAATGACAATTAGACTGTTGTACCGTGTGTAGACAATAATAGCAGATCAGGACACTGTTATACCATGTGTAGACAATGACAGCTGGTCAGGATACCATTATACCGTGTGTACACAATGATAGCTGGTAAGGACACTGTTACACAGTGTGTAGACAATGAAAGCTGGTCATGATACTGTTGTACCGTGTGTAGACAATGATAACAGGTCATGATACTGTTGTACCGTGTGTAGACCTTGATAGCAGGTCATGATACTGTTGTACCGTGTGTAGACAATGATAGCTGGTCAGGACACTGTTATACCGTGTGTAAACAATGATAGCTGGTCAGGATACTGTTATACCGTGTGTAGACAATGATAGCAGGTCATGATACTGTTGTACCGTGTGTAGACCTTGATAGCAGGTCATGATACTGTTATACCGTGTGTAGACAATGATAGCTGGTCAGGACACTGTTATACCGTGTGTACACAATGATAGCTGGTCAGGATACTGTTGTACCGTGTGTACACAATGATAGCTGGTCAAGACACTGTTATACCGTGTGTAGACAATGATAGCTGGTCAGGATACTGTTATACCGTGTGTACACAATGATAGCTGGTCAGGATACTGTTATACCGTGTGTAGACAATGATAGCTGGTCAGGATACTGTTATACCGTGTGTACACAATGATAGCTGGTCAAGACACTGTTATACCGTGTGCAGACAATGATAGCTGGTCAGGATACTGTTATACCGTGTGTACACAATGATAGCTGGTCAGGATACTGTTATACCGTGTGTAGACAATGATAGCTGGTCAGGATACTGTTATACCGTGTGTACACAATGATAGCTGGTCAGGATACCATTATACCGTGTGTACACAATGATAGCTGGTAAGGATACATACTGTGTACACAGTGTGTCAGACAATGTAAAGATAGCTGGTCATGATACTGTTATACCGTGTGTAGACAATGATAGCTGGTCAGGATAGTTATACCGTGTGTACAGATAGCTGGTCACTGTTATACCGTGTGTAGACAATGATAGCTGGTCAGGATACTGTTATACCGTGTGTACACAATGATAGCTGGTCAGGACACTGTTATACCGTGTGTAGACAATGATAGCAGGTCAAGACACTGTTATACCGTGTGTACACAATGATAGCTGGTCAGGACACTGTTATACCGTGTGTACACAATGATAGCTGGTCAGGATACTGTTATACCGTGTGTACACAATGATAGCTGGTCAGGATACTGTTATACCGTGTGTACACAATGATAGCTGGTCAAGACACTGTTATACCGTGTGTACACAATGATAGCTGGTCAGGACACTGTTATACCGTGTGTACACAATGATAGCTGGTCAGGATACTGTCAGTTTTGTTTTGTAGAGAAAACTTATCTAGTTGTTGCTGCTATCGATTATCGTCCATATTCATGTTAAGCACGTTTATTGTTTCTTTAAATGTTGTGCCTGAACTTTTTGAAATAAAGTGTTTAGAAGTCAATGTAATTTTATGCTTCATTTATGTCAATGCTATTTTCCTTTATTATTTCGGTATAGTGATGTTTTCTCCCGATGCTGTCAGACATAACATGTGGTGAACATATCTTAGGACAGAGGTGGGTTAACGAATCTGTGTGGATTTTCAATCATCACCCAGCACCTCGGCTATACAATATACACACAGTAATCTACTGTTAGGTAAATTGACCTCTGTACAACTGCTCTGTAATTTCGCGAGACTGGTCCATACACAGAGAAGACAATGTTTGGATAAGAAATTAAATTTCTGGAGCTTTCAAATCAATATGGTTTGACTCCAGTGTGAATACAGGTGTCTCGGCTCTGCCAAAGTGTTGGAGAATTAAAAACCAATATCATATAGATAACTTAGAACACCCTTCGTCTCCGTGTGTTAGTCAGGAAGACGATGAGATCCCGGATGAAACAAACGCTATCAACGTGATTCACCTGTACAGGCAAATAGGCCAATCAATATATTGATATACTTATATCTTAAAGCGTTCACCATGCGACCGAACACTTATTACGTCACAATGGTCACTCTACGAACGGACCGCCTTGGTTTATCGATTGCGAAAATTCCAATACAGGCCAAAATCCATAACATTACTTAGCGACGGTTTCAGCTTACCGTATACAAACAAAACAGGCCCGTTAATAAAATTGGTCGAAAAAAATCGATATTTGAAAGGAGGTGAAAATTTTAAATTGTTACATTTTAATAAATGTGATATCTATAGCAACAGTTGACTGTGCAGTTTACTTTTGTCTTCATCGGTACAGTGTTGCTATCGACACGTTCAGTACACACGCACTAGTACATACAGTGACCTTGTTAATAAGATTATCCTACTTACGTGTGTTAGTTACCTTTATAATCAGAGTATCTGGCAGCACGTGCGAGACACCCACACCTTTATTTTAACCTGAGACAGCTCAGTGCAAAATACTACAAAATTCAAGAGAAACGTGATTTTTGCTGCGTTAACTTCGAGTAGAATAGAGTTTTGAAATCAATTCGGACACGACCGCCATCATTTTAGAAATAGCGTAGACTATGATGAATATACTACATTTCGAATTAGCTGATGACAGATAAATCGCTTTCTTGTAGAAACCAGGAAAACTGATACAAAACATTTTATAAACCTTAACATCATCAGCATTGCTGTATTTCGATACAGAATTATAAAAATAATTTCTTTGAAATTATTCCGAAGTTGATCAAACAGTATCAGTATGGATGATTACATTGACACACAGTAATACAAGCATTGGCAGTCAGATACATCACAAGGTAAACACTCTGCATAAACTCTGGTAAATGGTGTAATGTGCAAATGAAAAACTAGACATGTTGTTATCATGAAATGCAAAATAATTTGTTTGACAATACCAGTGCTGAGAATGGGCGCGTTCCTCTCTTTGCACTGAAAACACAAAAATAGTATTTTCATCTGTCTGCACTGAAAATTGAAAAATTGATACGTCCCTTTTTCTGCACTAAAACTGGACAACGGGTACATCAAGCTCTCTGCTTTGGAAACAGGAAAATTGGTATGTCCTTCTCTTTGCATTGAAAACGGAGCCGTGGGTACGTCTCTCTCTTTGTGCACTACAACCGGAAACGTTGGTACGTCCCTCCTCTCTCTGCACTACAACCGGAAACGTAGGTACGTCCCTCCTCTCTTTGTGCACTACAACCGGAAACGTGGGTACGTCCCTCCTCTCTTTGTGCACTACAACCGGAAACGTGGGTACGTCCCTCCTCTCTCTGCACTACAACCGGAAACGTGGTTACGTCCCTCTTCTTTCTGCATTACAACCGGAAACGTGAGTACGTCCTTCCTCTGTCCGCACTAAAAATGGAAACGTGGGTACTTCCTCCTCTGTCTGCACTGAAAATGGAAACGTGGGTACGTCCCTAAGTACACACTGAAAATGGAAAATTAGGAAAATTACAAGGTAAATACTGAACTTATCACATAATACATGTTGAATTTGGGGAAGTTAATGCATACATACTGAAAACTCAAACTGAGGGCTGTCCACACTTTGTAAATATTCTATGACTTTATATTGCATGGTGCGGGGGAAAACTTTATCATATTGTCTGAAAATGTTCCCGAAAGTTACAACGTGATTTCGTTTTATTGGAACAGTTCACAGAAACCTGATGACGTGGGAACTATGTATTTGATTTTCCTAAATCAGTCACGTGGACTGTGAAATTGACTACATGTGTATAACGTCATTTAACTGACAGAAACAGCATACCGGATCTTTCTCAGTCTATTTCAGGTGACAAGTTGGCTCGAGACATCGACAACTGGTTCTCTTCCGATAATGTCAACTGAACTAATATTATCGAAATCTTCATCTGTCACACTTTTGATTCCAAGTATGAGGAACCGCACACTGTGTGACATTTCAGAAGGTTCGCTACGACACA